CAGTGTCCGTTTTCCCTAATCCTTTTTTTTTTTGTTTTTTTTTTTTTTTTTTTTTTTTTTTGAGACAGGATCTCACTATGTAGTTGAGACTGACCTGGAACTCACTGTGTAGCCCAGGCCGATCTCGAACTCACAGTGATCCTCCTGCCTCAGCCTCCCTAGTGCTGAGATTACAGGCGTGTGCCATCACTCCTGGCTTTGGGTTAACTTTTTATAAGACATACTCTTACAAGTAAAATAGAATAATACACTCATACAGTTATCGTTCACCTTTAACAATTTGGTTTCATCTGTCTTTACCTGCTTGCTTGTCTGTTTGCCTACTTTCTCTCCTTCCTTTCTTTCCTTCACTCCCTCATTCCCTTCCCTTTTTCTCCCTTTCCTTTTCATTTTAAGGCACATTACAAACACAGTATCATCTCCCCCATAATCAATTGTGTTATTCCTTTGGAATTTCCTGGGTTGAGTGTATCCTTGTATTATTTGACATTTTTTTCTATCCACCTGTATTTCCTGTAAACTTGTGCTTTAATCAAGAGCTACAGTGTCTAACAGAAATGTATTGTGAGCCACATAGATAATTATAAATTTCTAGTAGCCACAATGAAAAAGTAAGAAATAAGGGAAATTAATTTTTTCCCCCTGGTACTTGGGGATTGAACTCAGGACCTTTTGTTTGCCAGGCAGGTATGGTACCAATGAGCTACATCCCCAGCCATAAGGGAAGTTAATTTTAATGATATATTTTCTATAATTCATCCAAAATAATATTTCAACATGTAATCAAACTTCAGAAATTCTTAACAAAATACTTACATTTATTTATTTTTTTATATCAAGTCTGACGTCAGCATGTATTTTCTATGTACAGTACCTCTCAGTCTGGGTCAGTTACTTCTGAAGTGCTGAATGACCACAGGTGGGCAGAGGGCACTGAATAGATCGGTGTTGATCTGGAGGCTTGGTTAGGTCCAGGAGATCCGGGTCCAGCTTCCTTGGCAGAACTCAGGGCGCCCACCCTCCCTGCTGTGCCTGTCCTGGGAGGCATATGTCCACTGGGCTGCTGTCCCTTGAGTGTTTCCTTCGTTTAGTTCTCCTGTCAGCCGGTCATTCAGTTGTCCCTAGTAGCTTTGCTGATCATTATCTAGATACATAAAAGATAAAAAGATACTACTTACTTGTGGAGAATAATTTTATATTTCTATTTTATTTCATGGTTTTTCTATGATTAGTGTCTCAAGAGGATGGGAGTGGTGAGGACCACAGCATGTGGAATACCTTGAGCCATCAAAGAAAGAAAAGCTGGAGGGAAAACAGACAAAAACCATCCTTTTAAATAGAGGTGGTGGTCATGTGGAGCATGCCTATAATCCCAGCAGCTGAGAGGCAGAGGCAGGAAGGTTTCCTAGAGTTCAAGGCTGGCCTGGGCTACATATTGAGACCCTGTCTTTCAAAAATCAAACAGACAAACAAACAAAAAGGAAGGAGAACTGTTAGCCAGATTATGGAGGATCTTTTAGGGTTAAATTTCAGTCTTTCTCCTAAGAGTAATTGGAAGCTTTTGAAGGATATTTTACCACTTACCAGTTCAATTATTTATAGGATGATAAAAAATTGCATATTTTTTCATTAACTTTATAAGATAATATAACAGGAAATATAAAAATGACATCATATTTATTCAGAAATTTTTCTGTGTATGGTATATCTTAAAACAACATTACAAATCTGGACAGTACTATTTAAGTCTTTTTCCGAATTCTTTTTGCATTATTGGCTTTTTTTTAGTACCGGGTATTGAATTCAGGTCCTTGCACTTGCAAGGCAGGCGGTGGCACCACTGAGCTAAATCCCTGGCCATTATTGTCTTTCTTTTAAGCACACTTTACACTGTTGTGTTGGTCTTTCCTTTTTTTTGGTGGGTGGTACAATTTCAATAAAGTGACCACCCACTAAACATGATGGATACCTTGGTTGGTGTTTTTCTGTCCTGATTTGGTCTATTAGACTCAATGTAAATTGTAAATGATTTTTTGAACCCCTTTACCCAAAAGATGTGTAAATATTTTATAATAATATTTTTTCCATGATTTTTGATGACACTACAGCTTGTTAGGTGTTGGTTGACTCTCTGCACACCACCCATAGAATTATTATGATCACTGACCACTGACCACTGTTGGAATTTTTTTACTTTGGTTTTTTCAGTTTGGTTATCACTTCAAGACCCTGGCAAGTCCAAGGTCCTGAGTTTGATTCCTGGCACAAAGAGCAAACAAAACAAGACAATAAGGAGAGGCCCTTTTTGTCTTTCATTTCATAACACAGACATTTCCTCTCTGATATGCTAATGTTTCTCCTTTTTCAGTTATTTCATTTGCAGATTCCGCCCCCCACCAGAACCGGGGATTAAACTCGGATCCTTTCGCTTATGAAGCAGGCGGTGGAACCACTGAGCTAAATCCCCAGCCCTTCTTTTGCAGATCTTTTGATGGTTTCTTCCTGTTTAGTCTCAATGTCCCACACATCTGTTTTGTACTGTAAAAGAACATTACTGAGTTCTGGAGTATACAAATTATATCTAATGTACTTAATGATAAGAGATTATAGTTTGTAACAAAATTATAGGTTATTTTTCACAAATAAACATGAATTAGTAAAAGAAAATAACCAGAACATATTATTAGATTTTACTAGAAACAAACATCAAAGGCAGTGGATGCATTGTTAAAAAGCATGCAAAAAACAATTGATATAAAACAAATGACCAGATGCTCACATGCGCCCTCTCGGGCTTGCCTGGCAAACAGGAGGTGTCCTGTACCCCAAACCCAAACCTGATAATTGAAGTGACGCCTGGAGAGACACCCGGGATGGCAGCACGTAGATGAACGAATACACCGCCTGGTGTCCTTGGGATGTGCAGCTGAGTGCTTAGGTCAGTGATGGGATCCAGCTGCATTTTTTTTAAAAAATCACTCTTCATTTGTTAAAAAGAAAAAAAGTGTTAGAAATCACTTTGGCTTATATGAAGACAGTGTGGGAAGCAGGGAAGATTAAAGTGTGCATCTACTAATTAGGGACTTAATGCGTCGGTCCAAGGATCAGTGGAGGTGCCTTGGATTAGCTCTTGGTAGCTTGAATAGAAGGGTAGATTCTAGGAGTCATATTGACCAGACTGAGGTGATTGAATATGGAATGAAGACCGAAGATGTCAAGAGCACCTTTGAATTCTTTTTTATTTTTTAATTTTTAAATTTTTTTATACTGGGGATCGAGCTCTACTGGGGAGCGGCAGAACCACTGAGCTAAATCCCTGGCCCTGAACTATTTTTTTTCAGTGTTATTATAATTATAATTATAGACAGTATCTTGCTATATAGTTGAGGCTGGCCTTGAACTCACCATGTCACCCAGGCTGGCCTCAAACTTGTGATCCTCCTGCTTCAGCCTCCTAAGTGCTGAGATTACAGGCATGCACCACCATGCTTGGCAGTTTTTATAGAAGTGGATGATGGATGGTACTCTCTTTATTGGGAAGTGAAAAGGGTAAAGAAGCATCTGATCATTTGTTCAAGATAATCTTTTTTGTTTTTCCATTAACTTTATAGGTACATTTAAGGTAAACAGTTCAGTTACCTTCATCATTGGGATCTTGTACCTTTACATGATGTATCTTGGTTCTTATTTTTTCACCATTTCCTTGCCCTTCCTTCACTCCCTCCACCCTTCCCTATTTACAAAGACTTTGTTTCCATTAAGAAAATGTTTTTTTGTTTTGAAGATGAAAACGAGAGACTTGCATATGCACTTGTTTTGTTGTTGTAGTTTTTGTTGGTACTGAGGATCGAACTTGGGCCCTTGTGCTTGTGAGGCAGGCAGAAGAACCCCTGAGCTACATCCCCAGCCCTTGTTTATACAGATTAAAAAGTAGCTAACAGGAAGAATGGTCCTCAGAACACCAGAGAGGCTGAGATCCCAGGCTTATGCAGTGGGCTTGTCTTTAGATGCAAAGAAGGGCATATCCATTGCAAAAAGACAGAAGGCAGGAGTGATAGCTGAGGAAAGATCACAGATTTAATGATGAGATTGTGTAGGCAGTTTCCATTAAGGATTTTATTTGCTTTCAGCATGAGGAATGCTCATTTGGGGGTGAGGGATGAGGAAATAGAGGGAGAACATTGAAAAATTAGAAATTGTAATGATAACATGGGTAGAAGGAGACTACATTGATTCCAAAAATGTCATAATTGCTGGTCAAGAATTAAAGGCAAATCCTGGTCTCTGATCTGCCAAGCTATGGCAGTTTTTTTAACCTATAACTTGTGTTCAGTCATTCCCAGTGTAGATTCAGGGAAAGCAGACAGTACCTTGCTCCAGAGCTCCATTATGCCAGGTAGGTTTGACCAAAATACAAAAGAGAGAAAGGGTTGAGGATATTGATAAATAATTGAAATAATGGGTATGGATGTGGAACATCAATACTAGATAGGCAGAAAAGTAAAGACAGGAGGCCACAGGTGGAAGGTAAAAGGGTCAGTGTGTTGGAGGTGAGACGGACCATTGGATCATTGAAAATCAAGGAATTGTGAGGCCCGGGTTGTGTGGCTTGTGCTTGTCAGAGCCAAGGAATAATGATGATATGAGTTAGTGTAGGCTGTAAATGAAGAGTCTGGTCTTCAGTAGACAAAGAGAAGCATGTCCCTGATGCCAGCAGACAGCTTGATAGAGGAGCAAGAGTGGGTTAACCAGATACTGAACTGAGTGGAAATTTTTACAAGACATTATAGGAATACTAATGGTCTGGTGGCACATTGACCCATTGGCTCAAAAGCAAAGAGTCACAGAAGAATTTCTGCTTGAGAGCTAAGGTGCTAGAGGTTCCTCAGAGTGGGTCCAGATCTTGGTGACAAGGTCAGTGATCTAAGGTTTTCTTGTGGTTGAATCAGTCAGAACTGTATATGGTTACTAGAAGGTTCTATAAATGTGTATTTGTATAAAGAGAATCTAATGTAGGTAAATGTAAAATAATGCAACATTAAAATGCAACATTTAGTTCTTTAAAATTTGACTTTAATTATAATTTTGTTTTCCTCAGGATTTTTAAAAAGTAGAGATCGTGCCTATACAAAATTCTACACGCTTTTATCTAAAACACAGATTTTTATCCGTTTTATTGAAGAATGCAGTTTTGTAAGTGATAAAGATACTGGATTTGCATTTTTTGATGACTGCATAGAGAAGGTAAAAATATGTCCTATATACTGTTAAGAAAAAACAGATTGGTTTACCTCTATAATCATTGTAATCGTGAGCATGATCACCATTGTTGTCATCATTAGCATAAAATAATATGAGAAAGACAGTGTAAGGCTATGTTAGTGTGTGTGTGATTGATTGATTCTGGACTTAATATAAGAATCATTTCCTTTCGTGATATCTATTCTCTATCATGCATAGTTAATTTTTTCTTTGAATGTTACTTTGGTTTTGTAACTCTTAAGTACTAAGGGCATTTCCTTAAACTTCCTGTATCTGATATTTTTTTATTTAAATGAATAGAATATGATTTAAATGTGGTTTTGCTTTTGCTTTTTATGGTAGTGGGGATTGAGCCTAAGACCATGCCCTGATTTACCTCTCCATTCCTTTTTATTTTTTATTTTGTGACTGTCTCAGTAAACTGCCCAGGATGGTCTTGAACTTGCAGTCCTTCTATTCAGCCTCCAGAATAGCTGGGGTCACAGGCACATCACTATGCCTGGCGTAATTTGATTTTATAGTTTAGTTTTCTTTCTTTGATTATTTCATTTTTTCATTTGGGATGCTAGGGATCAAACCCAGGGCCTGACACATGCAAAACAAATGCTCTACCACTGCACCACGTCCACAGCTCTAAGATTTTTTTTTAATTAAAAATTTTAGTTTTGTTGGTAATGAAAGTTTTGTGGTGTTTTATTTTAATGTCTTTACAAATGCTTTTGCTAATATGTTTCTTGCATCCTCATGCACACTATTTGGAAATATACTGTATGTTAAATTTCAAAGCTTTATTACTGGAGTTTTAAATGGATTTCTAAGAGTGATGCCTTGCCTATATATTTTTTTCTAATTTGCAATACAGTTTTTATTTTTGCAAAGTAGATCTTGTGGGTAATTGTTAACATGAACCATATATTACATAAAATTTGGGATCATGTGCATAAAAGGTAAAATATTATGTTTTATTTTTTATGGGTCCTAGATAGAAGGAAGGGCATGCCATTATAAAAAGACAGCACAAATGATAGCTGAGAAAGAATCATAAAATTTGTAGTGAGATCATAGGTTTTATTTTCTTTGCACTATAAGGTATGGTCATTTTATATGCCTTAGAAGAATTAAATGATTTTATCTCATTCTGTGTAAAGCTCTTGATTTGATTTTTGGCATTTTTGTTTATTTATAAATTTGATACTCCAGCATCTTCCATTTAGAAGCTTAGGTCATGTCAATCACTAATGCAGGAGTTTTTAAAGTATGATGAACTTTTTATTTAAAAAGCCAGATATTCTTGTGGTTGACTATCTTTTGTTTGTGAATAGGGTGTTTGAAAGAGCTAATCTCACTAAAATTGTTTTCTGTCATATTAGCCACAACACAAATACTGTAATTTGAAGTGTAGAACCTAAAAATATATTGTGAAATGTTTTGTGTGTGCCTGGTTATGAAAAAAAAAAGTTTTTTTAAAGAATTGGGATTTAAGATGAAAATCTCTGTTAAATTTACAGTCCACATTTTCACTAAGAATTCCTTCTCTCTTTTTGTAGTTGTTTCCTGATAAAGGCACAGAGAAAACAGATAAGGTATTTTTTAAAAACTTACGTATTGAAATTTCAGAATTAGCTCTTCCTTATACACAGGATAATTGGAAGATATAATTACTTTCAGATTGATTTTGAATCATCAGAAGATACCAAGTTGATAGAACTAGATGAATCTCAGAAGAGTGAGCATACTGTACTTATAATGCCACCTGAGCCACCTCCTGATGATGGAAAGGACCTGTCCCCAAAGTACAGGTAGCAAGAAGTCTTACAGTTGCTGGGGCACAGACTGGATAGTTTATTTCAGGTGTTTGTTGTTATTAATAAATATGTTTATTAATCCAGTGGACTAAGAGATGAATATTATATGGAGATGCCACCAGGTACTGTAACTTACGAATTAGATGGTCTTGGGCCGGGGATTTAGCTCAGTGGTTCCGCTGCCTGCCTCACAAGTGCAAGAAGGTCTCAAGTTCAATCCCTGGAACCAAAAAAAAAAAAAAAAAAAAAAAA